CACATTCATTACTATGGGACAGCTGGAGATAGAATTTCAATATTGAAACAATGTTGCAGAGACAGACAGCAAGGTTTATACAAATCTTCGCTGTTGAAAACCAAATGCTAGTCTAAAAGAAATGAGAGATAATGTCTAGATGTTTTTTTAGAGTGGAGATCAAGTTTATACATTTCCTGGCTGTGCTGATGAGACAGTGGATTGCGCAGTGAGATGGAACAGAGTAAATAGGCATTTCAACTTCATAGCTTTAGCAGGTGGTATCTTGTGGAATAGACACCAGCTGGAATGCGGTTTTAACCAATCAGCATCCAAGATTAGACCCACCCATTGTATAATTAAGTGATAATGCCCAAGAAGCCGTTGTTTGAAGGAAATATTGGCATGGGTGTTGCCAATATATCCTCCAAACAATGGCTTTGAGGACATTATCACTTTTATACAACGGGTTACCAAAATATTAAAATGATTGACGTGTTCATAAAAAATATTTTGTTTAATTTATTCATAATATTTCATCCTTCACGAGATATAGTCCCGACACAAATCTAAGGTTGCTACCCAAGCCGGCTTGATCGTTCGTTCTATCGGTTCCGTTGTCAGAGACGCGACCCAGTCGTTAAGTTTTTTGTTCTGTATCTATGGACGCGACCCAGGCATTCGTTCTAAATGTTCCATTGCTATACTGGCTGGCAACGTTCCTAATCCTTTGCTTGCTAGCTAGCCAACTACGGCTAACGTAGTCATGTTTGTTTAATCTGTTTTCCAGTGACTTATTTGGATACATCCATAACAATGAGCTAATGATGCGTGATTTCGCCAGCGATAGAATGTGCAATCTCGTCAGGACACTGTTTTTCAGAGGAACTAGCCAACAACACAGCTAACACAATCACTTCAAACTGAAGCTGGAAAGACTGCAAACTAGCTGCATTTCATTTCATTTGGTTTTCTATTGACATTTCATATATATAAATATACACACACAGTGAGGGAAAAAAGTATTTGATCCCCTGCTGATTTTGTTCGTTTGCCCACTGACAAAGAAATGATCAGTCTATCATTTTAATGGTAGGTTTATTTGAACAGTGAGAGACAGAATAACAACAACAAAATCCAGAAAAATGCATGTCAAAAATGTTATAAATTGATTTGCATTTTAATGAGGGAAATAAGTATTTGACCCCTCTGCAAAACATGACTTAGTACTTGGTGGCAAAACCCTTGTTGGCAATCACAGAGGTCAGACGTTTCTTGTAGTTGGCCACCAGGTTTGCACACATCTCAGGAGGGATTTTGTCCCACTCCTCTTTGCATCCATACCCATCCATGACCCATTTTCAATGCCCTGGCTGAGGGAAGGAGGTTCTCACCCAAGATTTGACAGTACATGGCCCCGTCCATCGTCCCTTTGATGCAGTGAAGTTGTCTTGTCCCCTTAGCAGAAAAACACCCCCCAAGCATAATGTTTCCACCTCCATGTTTGATGGTGGGGATGGTGTTCTTGGGGTCATAGGCAGCATTCCTCCTCCTCCAAACACGGCGAGTTGAGTTGATGCCAAAGACCTGGATTTGGGTCTCATCTGACCACAACACTTTCACCCAGTTCTCCTCTGAATCATTCAGATGTTCATTGGCAAACTTCAGACGGGCCTTTATATGTGCTTTCTTGAGCAGGGGGACCTTACGGGCGCTGCAGGATTTCAGTCCTTCACGGCGTAGTGTGTTACCAATTGTTTTCTTGGTGACTATGGTCCCAGCTGCCTTGATCATTGACAAGATCCTCCCGTGTAGTTCTGGGCTGATTCCTCACCGTTCTCATGATCATTGCAACTCCACGAGGTGAGATCTTGCATGGAGCCCCAGGCCGAGGGAGATTGACAGTTATTTTGTGTTTCTTCCATTTGCGAATAATCGCACCAACTGTTGTCACCTTCTCACCAAGCTGCTTGGCGATGGTCTTGTAGCCCATTCCAGCCTTGTGTAGGTCTACAATCTTGTCCCTGACATCCTTGGAGAGCTCTTTGGTCTTGGCCATGGTGGAGAGTTTGGAATCTGATTGATTGATTGCTTCTGTGGACAGGTGTCTTTTATACAGGTAACAAACTGAGATTAGGAGCACTTCCTTTAAGAGTGTGCTCCTAATCTCAGCTTGTTACCTGTATAAAAGACACCTGGGAGCCAGAAATCTTTCTGATTGAGAGGGGGTCAAATACTTATTTCCCTCATTAAAATGCAAATCAATTTATAACATTTTTGACATGCGTTTTTCTGGATATTTTTGTTGTTATTCTGTCTCTCACTGTTCAAATAAACCTACCATTAAAATTATCGACTGGTCATTTCTTTGTCAGTGGGCAAACGTACAAAATCAGCAGGGGATCAAATACTTTTTTCCCTCACTGTATATATAAATTATGCTGATAATCAGCTGATTCATGATTTCGACTGGCTGAGAAAAGCTGTCTGTCTTGTCCCGACATGTTCATTACTATGGGACAGCTGGAGATCAAATTTCAATATTGAAACAATATTGCAAATGTCAGAGACACAGCAAGGTTTATACAAATCTCCGCTGTTGAAAACCAAATGCTAGTCTAAAAGAAATGGGAGTTAATGTCTACATGCTTTTTATAGTGGAGAACAAGTTAACCAATCAGCATACAGGATTAGAACCACCCATTGTATAATTAAGCAATAAGGCCCGAGGGGGTGTGGTATATGGCCAATATACCACGGCTAAGGGCTGTTCTTACGCACGACGCAAAGCGGAGTGCCTGGATACAGCCCTTAGCCGTGATATGTTGGCAATATACCACAAACCCGAGGTGCCTTATTGCTATTATAAACTGGTTACCAACGTAATTAGAGCAGTATAAATAAATGTGTCATACCCGTGGTATACGGTCTGATATACCACGTCTGTCAGCGAATCAGCATTCAGGGCTCGAACGACCCAGTTTATAATTCCCTATAACGCATTGTATATTTGCATGGTAGAATTCAATGGCTATAGTTCATGTTTACATGTTTTGTTTGAACTGCTTTTGAAAGCAAAAGTCAAATTGAAAATAGTATTAGTATTGTTGAACTCGATTGTCCATGTCTCAAGACTTAAAAAATCCTTCTTTAACCGGTCTCCTCCCCTTCATCTACACTGATTGAAGTGGATTTAACGGACATCAATAAAGGATCATAGACTGATCAGGTGAAAGCTATGTAATGGAAAGAGCAGGTGTTCTTAATATTTTCTGTACTCCGTGTATAAAGATATCCCCTGATATTGACCCTTTTCTCCCAGTGACCCACTCTACAGAGCTGCCTCCAGAACAATATTTAGTTACCAGGATGTCACTGAGGATCATGTCAGGACTAGTTCTCAGGACTAGTCATTAGGACGCCGCGTGATGGTCCCAATGGAACGTTCTCTGGGGGACCTTTTTCTAGTAAAATGAAAGTCCTGACATGATCCTCAGTGACATTTACATTTACATTTACATTTTAGTCATTTAGCAGACGCTCTTATCCAGAGCGACTTACAGTTAGTGAATACATTATTATTTTTTTTATACTGGCCCCCCGTGGGAATCGAACCCACAACCCTGGCGTTGCAAACACCATGCTCTATCAACTGAGCTACATCCCTGCCGGCCATTCCCTCCCCTACCCTGGACGACGCTGGGCCAATTGTGCGCCGCCCATGAGTCTGGTAACCATGTCATGACGTTCTCAGAACTTTCATTTTACTAGTCATTAAGATGTTTGCATGATGATCCCAAGGGAACGTCCCTGCAAACAAAAATGAGTCGTTAGGAAGTCCCCGGAACATCACAAAATGGTTGCCTAAAGTGGTCAGGACATTGTGTCATGGTCCCCCGGATGTTTTTGTCTAGTACTTAGTTTGTTCCGGGGACATCACCTGACTAATTTTTATTTGCAGGGTTATATCTATAAAAAACATTGAATATCAGTTGAGGTTTTAGTAGTAGTTCCCCCCCCCCAAAAAAAATTGCATGCACACACACGCTCACCTTCTCCCTCATTTACAGACAGACAGATTCACTGACCGACTGATTCACTGACTGGGGTTGTGGGTGATTATTGGGGGGGTCAATTGTGTCATTTGAAAGTCTTGATATTACTGCTAAAGTCAGGCTTAGAGCTAGGATTCAGAAATGTGGTTTGGTGTGTAGTCAGCTGTTACTGAAGCGTGAAAAAAAAATGTGAATATTACATTGTTGGTTAAAGTTATTACACTATTCATAATGTAATAATCAACACAATGTAATAATTATTACATTATGCGCAAAAACATGTAATAAATATGCAGAACGAATAACATTGTTGGCAAGTTACTACATTATCAGCATTTATTACATTCTAAATGCAAAAGTTATTACATTAGCAGCTAGTACATTATTGGCATTTTATTACATCAGTTGCTACAAGGCCTGAGGCACTTTTCAGTCACATTTCTGAAGCCCAAGAAACAAACACTTAGCTTCCTAGTACATATGGAATTTAAAAAAGTTTATGAATGACTTTTTGGAGGGTTACCGTCAAAATGATTTATTAAATAAAATAAACATCAATGACAGGCGTGCATGGGCCCCCAGAGCTCGTGGTGTCTGATATGCCAGTGCACTTACACCCTTCATCTTTACACAAACTTAAAAAAAGTAGACTGATATTGAGATGAGGGAGATGCAAGATGACGCTCTCACACAGTATCTGCACATGCGCACGGGTTCACTTCAAGCTGTTAGAGGATCTTCACTAGTTACCACAGCCACAAAGTCATAAACCCCGCCTATTTGTACAATTTCGCTTCTTAAAAAGTTATTTTAAACCTAGCCTTATGCCTAACCTTAAATTAAGACCTTTTTTCCCCATGCATTTTTACGAGACAATTTTGACAGTGGCAACTTGTGGAAACCCTGTTAGAACGTAGTAGTAACTGAACCAAACAACATTGCGCTTAGTCTGACCCACTATTCTGTTTACTTTCTGCATCTACATCATATCGTTGAGTCTACCTTTAAAACTTTGGCTTCATTGTCATTTCTCATCACCACACAAGACCGGTTGTTTTTCCCATAGTTCAGAGTCTTCTCATAATGTCTCACAAGGTCAAGTGTAGGTAACCTTGTCCCCAGTCTCAATTATTACCGCATATACATGTCAGAGAGAGAGAGCCTGCTGGTGGACAAGGTTCAAGTGTTAGGTGATATGTAGCCTCGGCCCAGGCTTTCACACACGTGAGCGATGCCTGGAAGCCGAGGCCAGGTTATATGAGTCAAGTCTTTTGTCTCACATTAATTTACACTGGTCTCCGCCTGAGGCCATAGAGCTCTGGACGCCTCCTGTCACGTTCAGACTGAGCCCCTGGAAGGCACCAAACAGCGAATCATCCTTCGCAGATTTCTGGTTCCTCTTGGCATTGGTCTTACTCTACATGGAGATAGAAAAAAAATGAAAGGTTCAATTATGTATTTTGTAAGTATAAAATCCTGGCCAACAGTACCCATGTAATCCCTTCATATAAACGAGACATATGAGGTCAGTTCAATTAGAATAGGTATCTTGTGATTCCCAAGTTTCACCCATAAACTCCTTTAGTCCTTCAAAATTAAATTGATATCTTCTCAGATCAGATGTCCACTGAACAAGTGACCTCCATCTTATTTTGACCAGTCACACATGACATGCACAGACTGACTTACCTTAGGGAGGCAGTGCTGGCTCCTGAAATGCTGGCTCCTCCTTCTGACGGACCTCTCTGCAATCTTCTTCTCTCGCAGTTTCCTACAGTAGCACAATATGGAAACAGAGATGCTTCAGTGGCATTTTGTGAGTCTCCCAAGCAGATATACTTAAGCGTTTGATACTCATCTATATAAGCGCTACGGGTCGGTTTCCCAGACACAGATTTAGCCTAGTTCTGGATTAATAAACACGCTCAATGGAGAATCTCCATTGAAAGTGCTTCTTAGTCCAGGATTAGGCTTAATTTCCATCCGGGAAACTGGCCTTTAATGACTTTATATCTACTAAAAACAATGGCCAACCATCCTTACCTTTCTCTTTGAATGTCAGCCTGGTATGCACTGAGCCAGGATTCTGGTACGGCTCTCTGCTTGGTGCAAGTTTTGGCACAAGGGACACTCTTTCTCCTGACTATGCTGTGCCTCCGGACTACAACTACGCTCTTCCGTCGAGCCCCTGTGCTCACGACTATGCTCTTCCGTCGGGCCCCCGTGCTCTTTTTGGTTCCTATTTTGTTGTCCGGTTTGGTCCCCGTCCCCGACACATAATCGCTGAACTGCTTGATGGGATCACCCAGGGACTTAAGATCCACCATAAGATCCATCTAGTTGTGTGTGTGCTGCTTTCAGCGCTACAGTAGGGTTTCAGTATCTCTCAGCTGAAGGAACTCAACTGATGGGCTGTTTTTTCAGACCTGTCAACGGCAAAGATAGAATAATGATTAAGTTGGGAGGATTTTTTCTGCACAAGCCTTGTACAAAAGGAGGGAAACTACACAAAACTAAATACATGCACGGTCTCTGATTGCAAGTTGATCTGAACAGTCTTAAAGGGGCATTATAACAATGGAACCAATGTCAACTACATTATTTACAATACAGACAACACATGAAGTAATACATACTGATAAATAATGACAAATACATTATCACAACAAAAATCTATGTAAGGCTATTTCAAGTGTGACCCGCATCCTTTTCTAATTGCACATACCTGTAAATAGTCTATTAGCGGTATCCAAGAAAGTCAGGTACTCCAAATTATTCATCACAGTGACCGCATTGTTTGAGGTACTCCGGTTGGACTAGTGTGCATTTGTCCGGTAAAGTGGCTAGTCTCCTCTTATGGGGATTTAACAGATGACCCTCCTTGCTTCTCAGGCAGATTAGTTGAAGACGTAAGTGCTACTTATTTCATTAGATCCTACAGGGATGCAAACAAACCAGTGTAGGAAAGAAACAAGCATGTCATGTTGATTTCAATGACATGGAATGACCTGTTCCCATTTCTTGAATTTGGTTAGTTATAATGAACTGTCAGCGTAGGTATAGTATAGGCCTACGAGTTGCCAGGTGATATTTATTTTAGTTCTGATGGATGAGTAATCTAACCATAAATCATAGTGAAAGAGGGGGTAGGGAGAGGGAGAGAACCGATGGTCTGGAGGAACACAGTGTTAAAAGGCATCACTTTTGTTTTCAATATCAGAGGGGATATTCTCTTTTCTTTCGAATAGCTGCCAATTGAACTTGATTGCATCAATGACTCAGTCAATACCAAGTCAAGATCCTATGTCGAGACGTCTAACATGGATCCATCAGCCTTCCACCACATTGTACCCAAATAGCACAAGTCACCACCACCCTTGATCATGTCATTCATTGATGGAAATAAACTGCTTGGGTTACCTTTTGTTTCTATAGCTAGATGTTAAGGTTAATTGTTTTGTTCATCCAGTGAATTTTACTCTCAACCAAATGTCTGCCTTGGTTTCTACATGCATCTGCCTTAGTTTACCGGCATATATCTACAGATTCTGTATACTTGCTGTATGTAAGCTTTGCTATAGTTTTTATGGTAGCAGATGGGGGAAACAGATGGAGTGAGGGAAAGAAGGCCAGGGACAGTGAGGCAAACAGACACTAAGGTAGTAGCGAGATGACGAGTTTGTGACAGATGGATAAGTACACCTGTCAGGCTGCCACAGCTGATCCTCCTGTCCTTAGCCCTTCCTGTGGGTGAGCCTGCTATGTCAGATCAGGAAGGCAGACTTCACAGAGGGGTTTCCATGGGTGAATCTCAATCTTTCCTTGCATCCTCCCTTCTACTCCTCCTCAAAACACATTGGAAGAGAACATCTGAGGGAGGGACCTTGAATTAGGGTTGAGAAGATAGGAATGAAGGAAAGACGAATTGAGATAGTGTTAGGACATGGGCTCTATCTACAGACTATTTGGTTAGTAGTAGCAGAGTTGGTGGTACAATACTAGGAAACAGAGCAATAGACCAGGGTCAGTAATAACAGCCTGCTATATCTTATGCCAACACTAGTTTTACCGGGGACACACAGAAGTCCTCCTAAGGGCTACAGTCACGAGATAAATCAGGGATTCGAAAGACAGTCAAGCATTTAAGACAAAATGCCTCCCCATAACTGTGCCAGAAGCCAAAGCTGATATTAAACAGCACTATAAGCCTTGGCAAAGGAGGACTTAACTTTAATTCTACACAATCATATATATATACACAGTTTTATACATTTAAATCTCATACAAAAAGTACTGTACAGGGAGATGACCAGCGGTAGCGTCTCATAATAAATACTGTAAACTGTGCTGCTGTGTGCCTGTGGCATTGGGATGGGATGCCATACATGACTATTATGAGCCTGTGAGTGCGCTTTCTCATAGACCACAGGCCTGATCCAATCACACAAAGTATAAAAGGCAGTTTGCAGTTTGTGGTGTGTGTCAGTTACCCAGACAAGTTAAGATGAAGACCAGCTGAGAAAACATCTAGTCGTGACAACTATTATTACATTAATATGGCAGCATAATCCCTCTCCTCAAAAGCATTACATAACAGAAATAAATATATCAATAGGAGAGGCCTATATAAGCAATACACGTGGAGTGTCAATCACTCACTGACAAAACGTGTCATCCAATTGGCTAATATTAGTCCAGATCGATGGCTGGGGGATGGGCAAGAGTTTCCAAATAAATAGTGCTCTTTAAATGGAAAAACTAAGCACGTCACACATTACAATGCCCCTCTTCGCCAAGTGTTTCACCTCAAATGAAGAGGTCACAATATTCGATTTCATAGCGATGCATCCCTCTTGCTCTCACTAGTGTTCCACTTAATGGACCTAAACGCGGCCGGTCCTTTCCTTTAATGCGGAAGACTGGCGCTGGGTAGTTTAAGGTTGGGCTAAAAACTCCTCTCAGTCATTTGTCTTCTGTTGGAGCAGAAGCGGAGAGGACTAAGAGGACTGTCCTTTTCTGAAGTCCTTCTGGTCTTCTAGCTGCCAGCATGAGCCCCAGTCCTGGCTGTGGAGGTGGGGCAGTATAGTAAGCAGGAGGGAACAGGTCAACGCTGTGATGATGATGATACACCTTAAGTGGTAGTAGCGGTTTGCTCCACCTTAAATCCCTCTATCGTTAAGAGTGGAGGCCCTAGGTCACCGGCTGATGTCTCGGTTGACCTCCCAGCTCTTCCCCCCCACCGCATCGCCTGCTGTCCCCGATTCGAAGAAAGGGTGTCTCAGGGAGTCGGCCAGGACCAGGCGCTTAGCGGGCTCGTACTCCAGCATGCTCTCAATCAGGTCAAACAACTGATGGTGCTCCTCAGCCTCCGACAACAGGTACCTCTGAGAGACACAGACAAAGAGAGAGAGGGTATACAGAGATGTGATCAGCATAACAATAAAAAACAGGAAACGTGGATTCTAGATTTGGGGTTAGGGTTAATTTAAATAATGTCTACATTTGAGAATTCCTGGTTAATCCGATATGAGAGGGTGAATGAGAGGTAGAGGGGAAGGAAGATAAAGTAGTGGGGTGCTACACAAGGAGAGAAAAGGAGCTGTTCTCTTACCCGTAAAGGTTTGCAGTTCTCCCTCACGTATCTCCCAGCTGACGAGCTTTCGTCCCAGTCCAGACGGCCACGGTAAAAATATTTCTGCTTCCTGAGTTGAGAGAAATTATTGCAAAGACTGAGGAGTGGAATACAGAGAGAAAAGCACTGTAGAGGAAGAGTTGTGTGTGCACGTGCATGCAGGGGCAGCAGCCTGGAAGAGTTGCCATAGGGTTCAACACAGACATCATGACAAGCATCACTAACAAACAGGCCCTTTAATGTGGCATGGACCCAACTTTACTTTGATGCTCTGCGTCAACAACTAGACAAAACAACACTATGGGGGTGTGTGTTGGATTGCTTTTTGACCTGTAACTAACTACACAGATGCACCTGGTCGTGTGTGTGTGTGTGTGAGCTCTGACCTTGTCTTGCGTATCATCCTGGAGGGCACTGGCCCCAGTATTCTCTCCATCATGGCCAGATGCTCCCTGTTATCATGAGTCTGAGGGAGGGATGAACAAACAAGATAAAGGTAAATCTTAATGTCATCACCATTTCTCTTTCAATGTATAAATAGCCATAAAAGTAGAATGTGGATATCAGCAACAAGACCTAGGCCAACACACCATTATCAGAGACCTCACCTATCTTCAAATAATTGTATTGATAACACTGACTAAAATGTGGCTGAAGCTGAGAGCTTTGAATAGAATGTGTGAGCTAGCATCTATGGTGTTAGAAGCACAGCCAAGCAAAACTCAGAACACGGAGGACAACCAAGGGTTGATCCTCAATAGGATTAGCAGCTGTGTCTCCCTGCTGTTCTCTCTGGCTCAACATGTGCGTGTTTGCGAATGTATTTGTGGGTACACATGTTGGTGTGATACTGGTCCGACTCCGGCCTGACCAATCCGAGTGACCAGGCAGCAAGCCATTCTGGGCTTCGTTCAGTCCTTCCTGACAACCTGAAATCAACCAGACTCGGAGTAATCTAGGAAGGCAGCTGTCGCCACAGACAGCATGGGGTTGAGAACTGAAGTGGGGTTTTACCTGAAACAAGGTGAAGCCTAGGTAGTACTCGAACAGGATGCAACCGATGCTCCACACGTCACATGGCTGGCTCCAGCCCAGCTCTGCAGGACAAAACACAGAATGGGTGGAAAATAACATTTCTCAGGTGGTTTCCCAGAGACAGATTAAGCCTAATCCTGGATTTAAAAAGTATTTAATTGAGATTCTCCATTTAGCTTGCCTTTTAGTCTAGGACTAGGCTTAATCTGTGTCCAGGAAATGGCCCCTTATCGTTTAATGCACATTGAATTGGTGCAGGCTGGTGGAACCTAATAAAAACAATGGAAAAGCTCAATTTTAAAAAGACCCTAGCCTCACTCTTGCGCCAGTGTTTGATTTATCAAAAGCAACAACCCAAGTTTCAGCGCAGCAGCTTTCTGCCTAAATATTGGTTGTCACTTTACAACTAGCATTTTAGATCAAAGGGTGAGGGTGCAGCTTTTGAGTTGAACAAGGAGGAATTATACAACCACATAACATGTCCATGGGTAAGCATACACCTTGAGCTTTGAAAGTATGTGAAAAACAAAAATCAACCCTGCTCAACTCTGAACAAGCACACACAACTAATTCTCATGCACTGCTAAGTGAGGTTAAGCCAATCAACTGTGCTTAGTGTCTGACTGGATTGTTGTTCAGTATCTACCTGACTGGAACAGAACTGGCAGACTATGGCAGTTCAACGCGACAGCCAAGGAACACCCCCTCCATTTTAGAATAGCCCTCCTCGCACAACTGAAGCAACCAGACAGACTGTAGCAGTTCATTGCTAATGTTGTGGCTACACCACCCTTAGTTTAGAATAGTCCTCATTGGGGCTGTGGCGGTCATGAAATTGTGTCAGCCGGTGATTGTCAAGCAAATAACTGCCGGTCTCACATTAATTCACCGTTAATTAACAAAAACATTTAGCATCTCCTGGCTTCCAAACACAGCTTACAAGCCACTGATGCAGACCTTTAGAACATCTACATTTAAAAAAGTATGATAAATCCATGTAATATAGCCTACACCGTCACAATAAATCCATTATTTATTTTAGACAGGTCTAAAGAAAAATGAAGAAAATTGTAGTTTATTTTAGAAGAACAGAACAGCATACTCTTAGTTGTCCTTATGTTAGGCTGATCTGGCTATGCAATATGGCTGTGGGCTACACTAGCTCATTTAGCAGACAAGATTTGCTTAGAAATCCATGGCATTATTTTATATTATGAAGAATGCAATTGAACATTACAGAATCCCTTATCCAATTCCGAGGCGTATATTGAAGATATTGGAAGAACTGTCCACATTTACTTTTCGTCAGCCAACAAGATGAGTAGGCCTAACAAACAGCAAAAGCACTAGCCCATGTCAATCTACTATCCTTCATAGTACAAAAGTTGACCTATTCTGTGTGAGAAATATTCCAAACAGTCTGGGACAGTTGTGGGATACGATAGATCCCAAATTAATACAACCACTTGCATAAACAAACCTGTTAAGCAAAGAACCTGACGCAACGGATGAGAACGTTTAGCTTAAAATGTTGATAAACTATTAGGCTATTTCTTCACATTGCGCATTCGGAAATAGGCTATATGCGCGAATGTTCCATAAGCAGGAAAATACCATTCTCAAAAGTCACCACAAATGCGATTATGCATGTAATGCTTTTATTATAAAGTTGCATTTCTATGGTGAATATGATCTTCCCCAAACTTGAAACTCAAGCGCTGCGTATGTATGCCAGTTAAGACTCTACACCCGTTGTAAAGCGGATTAATGTGCTACATTTTAAAGTTATTTGGACACTTTGTTGTGATACAAACCTTATCAAAACATTTAGGCCTATGTGCTAGGCTACATGACGTGTGGGACTATGATTTGAAAAAGTTGCACCAAAAAAAAAAAGCATGCGCTGTTTCTTGGGCATCATTCACAAGTGACAATATATCATTCACAAGTGATAGGCTAATAGCCACCCATCACACTACTCTTGATTTAATCTTGTCTTTCCGAATGCACTGTATATTGTAAAGTACTAAAATCCCTTCACTTTTTCCACATTACAGCCTTATTCTAAAATTGATTAAATTGTTGTTCTTTTCCCCTCAATCTACACACAATATCCCACAATGACAAAGCAAAAACAGGGCAGACATTTTTGCAAATGTATTAAAAATACACAGAAATATTACATTTACGTAAGTATTCAGACCCTTTACTCAGTACTTTGTTGAAGCACCTTTGTCAGCAATTACACCCTTGAGTCTAATTGGGTATGATGATACAGGCTTGGCACATCTGTATTTGGGGAGTTTCTCCCATTCTTCTTTGCAGATCCTCTCAAGTTCTGTCATGTTGGATGGGGAGCATCGCTGCGCAACTATTTTCAGTTCTCTCCAGAGATGTTCGATCGGGTTCAAGTCCGGGACTTGTCCCGAAGCCACTCCTGTGTTGTCTTGGCTGTGTGCTTAGGGTTGTTGTCCTGTTGGAAGGTGAACCCTCGCCACAGTCTGAGGTCCTGAGTGCTCTGGAGAAGATTTCATCAAGGATCTCTCTGTACTTTGCTCCGTTCATCTTTCCCTTGACCTTGATCCTGACATTTTTTGGTACCCTTCCCCAGATCTGTGCCTCGACACAATCCTGTCTCGGAGCTCTACGGACAATTCCTTCGACCTCATGGCTTGGTTTTTGGTCTGACATACACTGTTAACTGTGGGACCTTATATAGACAGGTGTGTGCCTTTCCAAATCATGTCCAATTAATTGAATTTACCACAGGTGGACTCCAATCAAGTTGTAGAAACATCAAGGATGATCGATGGAAACAGGATGCACCGGAGTTCAATTTCGAGTCTCATAGCAAAGGGTCTGAATACTTACGTAAATAAACGTATCGGTTTTCAATAAATCTGCAAACATTTCTAAATACCTGTTTTCACTTTGTCATTATGGGGCAGTGTGCATAGATTGATGAGGGAAAAACTATTTTATCCATTTTAGAATAAGGCTGTAACATAACATGTGGAGAAAGTGAAGGGGTTGGAATACTTTCTGAATGCACTGTATGTGTGAAATTTGTTTGACTTAGAATGAAACATTATCATGAACCTGTCTCGAAACGGGGGCAGTGGGAAAAAAATATGTAATCTATGCACTTAAATAGCGAATGGAGGACGCTTTTCCCGCGGTTCATTTTCATGCCAGCTAGGTAGGCTACACTCCTGTTGTATAGAGAAGCAATGTGATTAATATCAGGAAAGTTGAGAAATAAAATATAGTAGGCCTAGCTGATGGGATCCTCAATTTAATAGAGGCCATCACGCAATTGAATAGCCTACAGAAATGTTGCGCAACATGAGCTGATGGCTCTCATGAATTGTTTGATTAGATTTTCGATTAGATTTGCATTGATGTCAGAGTGATTAGAGGGACAATAGAGTGCTGAGTACCAGGCAGTTAGCAAGTTTGGTAGGCTACTAATGACCATCAGCAGCATCAGAGCTTGGAGAAGCCTAATTATCGCGACTAAACGGTCACATGGAATTTGACTGCCGGTGTGGCCGTAAAAGGGTCACCGTAACAGCCCTAGTCCTCATCCAATTGTTCAGCCAACTGGCCTGAAGGAAGGTAGGGGTCACTCTGGAGTCTGAAGTGTGAGGTCACTCACCTAGTATGACTTCCGGGGCACGGTAGTGCCGCGTGGAGACGATGGTGCTGTGGTGCTCGTGGTCAAACGTGGCGCTGCCAAAGTCCACCACCCGTACATCCGTGCTCTTCACGGTCCGCTCTTCGCGCTTCTGTGGGAGGAAGGTGAAAAAGGACATGGCTTAAAAACAGAAAATGCCGGAAAAATAAGTTACATTTTTCTCACTACCACAACTAATTTCAAACCTCATGAAATGAGGTCAACTTTTAGAAAGAGACCAGTGAGCGACGCCTTGATTAGTCCATTTCTGATATCTAGTAACCTTGACATTATTCATTTTCATGCATGTGACATTAACCATACCTATATCCAAACGGAAAATGCGTCATTTGTTTTGCTTTTGTACATTTTAGACCTATTAAAATCATTTGCACTTAAGGCAATAGTTGCCTACTTAAGCAGTTGGTATGACACTCAGGCTGTATCCCAAATGGTACCATTTCCCCTATATAGTGCACTACTTTTGACCAGGCACTGGTTAAAAGTAGTGCACTATTAGGGAATAGGGTGCCATTTGAGATGCAGTCTTGGTGAACGCAAAACAGGCTCTGCAGAAAGCCTATTATCCTGAGGCCTGACTTCTCGTCTCACCTTCTCTACGTTATAGGTCATGGTGAAGTCGGAATTGACAAACAGGATGTTTTCTGGCTTCATGTCTGTGTGTGTCAGCTTGGTATCATGAAGAACTGTGAGGAGAAAATCCCAGTTAAAATCCCAACAAACGAGCCATCCACATTCAATGGTGGTGAATGAAAAGAGCACTCCTCTTCTGACGTGTGTTTGAACCAACGATGCCCTTATGTGGCTAAAGGCTTCTTATTGTAAACAATGGTGGCCTTTAATTCCAATTCCAACCTCAGTCTCTAGGGGAGGTCTATGTAGGCGTTGGAGTGATACTTACAGTGCATTCTGAAAGTATTCAGACCCCTTCCCCTTTTCCACATTGTTACTTTACAGCCTTATTCTAAAATGGATTAAATAAAACATTGCTCAATCTACAAACAATACCCCATAATGACAGTGAAAACAGGTATTTAGACATTTTAGCAAATTTTAAATAAAAAAACAGAAGTATCTTATTTACATAAGTATTCAGACCATTTGCTATGAGACTCAAAATTGAGCTCAGGTGGATCCTGTTTCCATTGATCATCATTGAGATGTTTCTACAACTTGGAGTCCCCGCGGAAAATTTAATTGATTGTTTATTTTTGATACATTCGCAAACATTTCTAAACCTGTTTTTGCTTTGTCATTATGGGGTATTGTGTGTAGATTGAAAAAAAAGCAATTTTACAATAAGGCTGTAACGTAACAAAATGTGGAAAAAGTCAAGGGGTCTGAATACTTTCCGAATGCACTGTATGACCAGTTGACGGTAGGTCATGTTGAAATTGTTAAAGTGAATGTGTTCTTGATAACTCATCTGGTTAAATAAAGGCAACAAAAAAAAGATATTAGCGTAATATCGGAGCACACTTACACTTGACAGCCAGGCTGTGGAGTAAGAATTATGACTAGATGACTGGTAGTAGCATAGCATCTGAGCGCACTTCAAGTTCATTGGCGTACACATCACTGACAAACTGAAATGGTCCACCCACGCAGACAGTGTGGTGAAGGCGGCGCAACAGAGCCTCTTCAACCTCAAGAGGCTGAAGAAATTTGGATTGGCACCTAAAACCCTCAAACTTTTACAGATGCACAATTGAGAGCATCCTGTTGGGCTGTATCACTGCCTGGTAAGGGAACTGCACCGCCCGTAACCACAGGGCTCTTCAGAGGGTGGTGCGGTCTGCCGAACGCATTACCGGGGGCAAACTACCCGCCCTCCAGGACACCTACAGCACCCGATGTCACAGGAAGGCCAAAAATATAATCAAGGACATCAACCACCCGAGCCACAGCCTGTTCACCCCGCTATCATCCAGAAGGCCATCAAACTGTTCAATAGCCATCACTAGCACATTAGAGGCTGCTGCTGCCTATTGAAATCACTGGCCACTTTAAGAAATGGAACACTAGTCACTTTAATGTTTATATATCTTGCACTACTCATCTCATATGTATATACTGTATTCTATAATATTCTACTGTATCTTAGTCCATGCCGCTCGGTCATTGCTTGTCCATATATGTATATATTCTTAAATTCCATTCCTTACTTTTAGATTTGTGTGTATTAGGTATATGTTGTGAAATTGTTAGATATTACTGCACTGTCGGAGCTAGAAACACAAGCATTTCGCTACACCCGCAATAACATCTGCTAAACGTGTGTATGTGAAAATTTAATTTGATTTGATTATGTCAGGCCGTTATTGTGAAAGAGAATGTGTTCAATGACTTACCTGGTTAAATAAAAAGGCAATGAAAAAATTCATACATAAACTTACACTTGACAGACAGGCATAGCTGGTAGGCCATGTGTCGGACCTGGGCGATGGAGTAGGGCAGGTAGTTGTTCTCCTTGAGGAAGTCGAAGGTGCTGAGGGCCAGCAACTCAAAGGAGATACACATGTGGCCGTGGTAGTCGAACCAGTCATACATCTGCACACACAGGCTGGGAGGAAAGATATGAGTTACATATTAAAACAATTAAACAAAAACTAAATGATACAGGATCGAGTGTAATCAGGGTTTTCTGTGGATCAAAAAGGGGCTTAGATGGTGGGCGTGGCATTGGGCATGTTCACCACAGTTTAGGATTTTAGATTACATTTTAGAGGCCCCCCATCTTGGTAGTGTAGAGATATTTTTGCAATTTCCTGCAATTCTACAAACTTCTCCATGGAGCTGAGATACAAGAAAATGGTGACGTTTTAAAGCAAATTTCCTGCAATTCAATGCATTTTGCCATGGCTAATGCCTTATTATTTTGCGCAAACCTAATGATATTAATTCTGCTAAATTCATTGTTTTGGGTATTTTCTATTCTCCGACTGGCTAGCTTTTATTTTGTTGATTGTTAGTTCTCAAAGATTATGTTACTTAAAAATATAGGTCCGTTATCTTTGACATAGTTTATATCTGATTTTAGTCATTTATCTTTACAGCCAAAGTGTTTTTCATATATATATAACAAAAATATAAACAACATGTTAAGTGTTGGTCCCATGTTTCATGAGCTGAAATGAAAGATTCCAGAAATGTTCCATATGCACAAAAAGCTTATTTCTCTCATTTTGTGCACAACTTGGTTTTCATCCCTGTTAGTGAGCATTTCTCATTTGCCAAGATAATCCATCCAACTGACTGGTGAGGCATATCAAGAAGCTGATTAAACAGCATGATCATTACACAAGTGCACCTTGTGCTGAGGACAATAAAATACCAATCTAAAATGAGCAGTTTTGTCACAACGCCACGTCTCAAGCTTGAGGGAGCGTGCAATTGGCATGCTGACTGCAGGAATGTCCACCAGAGTTGTTGCCAGAGAGTTGAATGTTCATTTCTCTACCATAAGCCGCCTCCAACATCGTTTTAGAGAATTTGGCAGTATGTCCAACTGGCCTCACAACCACGTGTATGGTGTTGTGTGGGCGAGCGGTTTGATGCCAATGTTGTGAAAAGTGCCCCATAGTGGCGGTGTGGTTATGGTATGGGCAGGCATAAGCTATGGACAACAAACACAGTTGCATTTTATCTATGGCAATTTGAATGCACAGAAATACCGTGACGAGATCCTGAGGCCCCTTGTTGTGCCATTCATTCGCCGCTGTCACCTCATGCTTCAGCAAGGATCTGTACACAATTCCCGGAAACTGAAAATGTCCCAGTTCTTGGCCTGCATACTCACCAAACATGTCACCCATTGAACATGTTTGGGATGCTCTGGATCGACAGGGTGTTCCAGTTCCCGCCAAAATCCAGCATCTTCGCACAGCCATTGAAGAGGAGTGGGACAACATTCCACAGGCCACAATCAACAGCCTGATCAACTATGTGAAGGAGATGTGTTGTGCTGCACGAGGCAAATGGTGGTCACACCAGATACTTACTGGTTTTCTGATCCACACCCCTAAAAATGTTTTTAAAAAGGTATCTGGGACCAACAGATGCATATCTGTATTCCTAGTCATGTGAAATCCATAGATTAGGGCCTAATGAATTTATTTAAATTGACATATTTCCTTATATGAACTGTATCTCTGTAAAATCTTAGAAATTGTTGCATATTGTGTTTATATACATTTTATTCTTTACTGTTAGGACTTAGGCAACCCCAAAAAACGCTTCAGCGGCCCACCCAATGATTTAAATGGCAGAAAACCCTGGTAATGAACAACACACCATAGTGGTCTGAGTCAGTAGTAGGCTACTCACTGTTTGTTTTCCGGGTCTTTCTCATTGATTTTCTCCAGCACATTGATCTCCAGACGAGCTGCTTCCTTGTATTTGTCCACATTTTTTATGATCTTCAGAGCAACAGTGGCGCCTCCCCTGTAAAACACAGAATGAATGACAAAGCTATAACTACCCACATCATTGGGATGTCCCAACTCGGAGGTGAAATTTAAAACGGTTAAAGTAAGGGTTAGGGTAGGGACGTCCCAAGGATATACTCCACCACTGGTACCACCCTGTATTAGAGCAAATGTCTGAAGATTTGCCCCATCTCAGTGGATTTAGCTAGCGATTAGCATTAAAGGCTAACCTAACAAATGTTTTAGGCACATTTGCAGCTTGCGAAGACCAATAATAATAATAATAATAATAATAATAATAATAATAATAATAATAAGCCATTTAGCAGACGCTTTTATCCAAAGCGACTTACAGTCATGCGTGCATACATTTTTGTGTATGGGTGGTCCCGGGGATCGAACCCACTACCTTGGCGTTACAAGCGCCGTGCTCTACCAGTTGAGCTACAGAGGATCATGACCAACTAACTAGCATGTTGCACAGAGCAAGTTACACAAACTAATAGTATATCGAAAACATGGATTTATATTAAGAAGCAAAGTGGAAAGCTGAGTCTTTGTTTGGAAGAAATATGTTGACTGCATGCTGTTATTTGGTCAATGCATGCAGAGTGAATCTCTAGCACTAGGACTGCATGCTTGAGTGACAGGGGGCGGGCTTTGTGTTAGTGGGGGATTGGGAAGCGGCAAAAAGGAGAGCGAGAGAGAACACCGTCAAGTCGAGCAATAAATCAAAAGTTAGACGGCCAAGTGCCGTTTTAAAATATTGCAGCCTCTTGCGATATGTATATTGTGCATGTCAATGTCACAATTTAGATTAAAAATGTGATAATCGTGCAGACCTAACACACAATACATGAGGGAATACCTCACAGTGCAAACTGTTATTCCCTAAAGTGAGTCTTGCTAGAGGTCTATCTACATAACCCAAGAGTGCTGTTGCTTGGAAACCTGGTGTCACAGGTTTGGTAGCTAAAATAAGATGGATAGAAACACTAAGGGTAGATTTTGAAACCTGTTTTTTTTCAGTCTCTTTAAACATTATACATTTGTCCAATTTTATAACCGAGAAAATTTAGTGTTTCCAAGGCATGAAAGTCCACCTTATTTCATACAAGCAAACTATTGTGATGAGTAATTTCTTGTCCCGTCATGTTGATTATGCAACATCTTATGTTCCCATAATGACATTTGGCTTTTATCACATTTAAATTCAAACTCATATTG